GTGTGTGTGAGTGTGTGTGTACTCTTTATCTAATAATTGAATGTAGTAAAGCCACAATTTCTTCATAATTTAAAGTTTTACGCCAATTTATTTATTTATTTTTACACTGTACGTATGTATTTTGCATGCTGCATATTGACAAATATTAAAATTTAATATTATTATTATTGACACATAGAAAACGCATAATTCACTTTTTAAGTAGTTACGAATATATCCTTTCCATTTACGCATGTGCAATTCCCTCCCTGGTGTTGCAGTTGTTCATGGGCGGCGGTAGTCACTTACCATCAGGTGAGCCGCATGCTTGTTTGCCCCCTCTCCTATATAAAAAAAAAATTGAGTTTTACGGTCAAATAATAAGGTTTTATGAAATTTAAGAATAGAACGTAGACCATTTTTTTAGAGGATAAAGGTGACAAGCGAGCACACAGTCTACCTGATAGTAAGTGGTTGCTGAGGCCTATAGACATCTACATCTATCCTAGTTTGCGAATCAAACTGTGAGAGCGTGGTCCTTCCCCGGTCGAGCTGACCCATTCGTGCTACAACTATACAATTAATATAGCTGCAGAATGGCTCTACCGCGTATAAAACATATAATTATGGTACTGTTAGCAAGTCACACATTTGATACAAGTCGGTGGTTAAAAAAAACGAAACGTTTAAAATACATGACTTTCAAATGTGATTCCTGTGACCGTTGCACTTCTAGAAATTACGTTTTTGTTGCTCCACCTCCAAAAGGAATGCAGTAGTTAAAGATTGGATTAGGGAAATATAAATCTGTTTTAGTAGTTTGTTAGAAAATACATATACTGTTTAAAGATCCAACTTAGTTTTCTAACTCGAGCATTTACAAGTTCAATCTGATGAAACCAAGATAGTCGCTGATTTAAAACAGCTCCTAAATATTTAGTTTTATTTATTTTATCGATACATGGGCATAAAAATGAGCATTAGTAATATCACATGTATGAATTTTATGGCAAAATTAGTATCTAGTTAAGTATTCTTAGTTAATGTGAAGCAGAGATATAATTGGTTTTTGAGCGTTTAAAGTGAGTAAATTAGACTTGAGACAAAATGCAAATTTAATCAAACCAAGCTCAGTCTCCCAATTTTCGTCTGAAAATACTATTACATTGAAACATTTAATCATTATTTTCTTTTGCTTCAAATTTCTGTTATTGAATATATTAAACAAAACTACTTGTCGCAGTTTCTGATCAAATAATCCAAGATTTCTACAGCAACGGGATTATGTCACTACCTACAAGATGGCAACAAGTTATCGAACAAAATTGTACATATATATTATAATTAAAGTATATAAAATACGAAGAAACTTTTTTCCCGACTCTCATAAGTATATAAGGTGTAATAAAATAGTGCTTAATAACTTATTGTACCAGTCAACATGAATAATTTTTATTGTCAGCTATTTTATGCAAAATTTCATACAAACTCGTTCAAAATATATGAAAGACCTGATTTTTTTGCGATTTCCAAGATAGATCCATTGTAAAAGTTGTTCATATTGACGCATAGAATAGAAATAGAAAGCAATACTTTGAATACACCATATATATAATTATTTATTTTAATAATTTATTAATAATAGTTAGTGACATGTAAATAAAAATTAACTACACAGTTCACAGTTAGCTACCGTGGGAAAATCTTTGTTTCAGAGAGCACGAGGGATCTGTGACAGAAAACATCTGGCCGCCGAGCTTGAGCACGTCGAGCAAGTACTGCAAGACAACAAGCTTCGGGTCCCGCGCCTACGTCACAGTGACCGAGTGAAGCCAGCCACAGTCGAGCGTGTGCCTGCTGTAATACCCTATGTCAGAGGAGTCACAGATAAGGTTGGCTACATTTTGAAGCGAGTTTCCATTAAAACATATTTCAAGCCGCTGAAGAAGATTGGTCAATTTTTACCATCCGCCAAGTGTCATGTCCCTCTACAAGATACAGGAGTGTACAAGCTGGATTGTGAATGTGGTCTCTCGTACATAGGACAAACAAAAACATCTATTAAAACCCGCGTTAAAGAACATATAGCTGACGTGAAGCACCGACGTATCGGGAAGTCTGTGAACATGTTCAAGATCGTCCCCGCCATTACATTAGATTTGATAGACCACAAATCCTCGCAAAAGAACACCGATTCCTCCCAAGGATGATTCGCGAGGCTATTGAAATTAAAAAAACATTCTAATTTCAATAGAGAAGATGGATGGGTGCTGCCATCTGCTTGGGATCCCATAATTAATAAAATCAAATTCAAACCCAAGTATACCACTGCTAGACTTCAAGATACTGTAAGCTCATTCTGCGTAAATCGAACCAAAAATTAATATTAAAAAACTGAAGGTAGCCGGGCTAACTATGACAGCAGGACGTCAAACACCTCAGTCCCTCGTGACCACGGGTGCTGGAAAGCACCCGAAACGTCGGGAATAAAAAAATAAGTTAATATACGCGATAAAATCCGTAAAATTCGTTTTATTTAAAAATGTGTAGTGTTCGCGTAAATATAAGAAATCATTATTAACATTAACTGTTAAAAATGAGGCCTTATCATTTATATGCCATTTATTCAGAAGAAAAACCTATACATCATATACACAAATATATTGATATTCTTATTGATATTCTTTATTCTTATTGATTTTCTGGGCTACATTCATACTATGAACTTAACTTCTAAATCATAGCATAAAATAATTTTTTCCGTTAATCGGGTAACAGGTAAGCTGCTGGCATATAATTTTTTCACGCACACTAGCATCCTTGCAAATTGTTTACATATTACAATATTGAGATACCGCATTCACGGAGCTATTATTTTCAGGTAGATGTTAGACCTATCAATAATCTAAGATTGTAATATTCTTGAAAACGTTAACAATTATGATGTTTTCCACACAACACAAGTACTCTCGAATCTTTTCTCACAAAGCGCTCGACGTAAACTAATTAGTAAATAGCCCCACTTACAAAAAAGCGAAAAACATTCAAAATTTGGATGCAGGGAAGTTCGTTTATAACGCCACATTACCGTTATTAACGGCCTTGTCTTTAGTCTATGCTGTTCAAAGATTAAAACCAGAAACATACAGCGTTTACTTTTTAATTAAATAGTTAGTTGTAAACACTAGGCTATCAGCCAAATTTGGTGCCGTGACGAAATTGTTACCTTAGTTGAAGACTCACCTCCCCGAATTTCCAAGCTCGATATGTGGAGGCCATGGCACCAAGAAAAAACGAGCACTCGGAAGCACCAAGTGGTACAGTATCGCCAAAGTTGCGGAGAACAGTCGAGTGGCGCATTACAATACCAAAAATCCTCTTCCCTTGAGACACCACCTCGGCTGCAGCGATATAGAGGGAGGGCTCTCCTATAGCCGCAGCTCACTAGCACAAATCCAAGGGCCCGACAAGCCCACTCAGAGTAGCCACCTTGGGCCAGCCTTTCACTTCGGGCCAGCCGTGTGAGCCACCCTACGTTTACCATGGGTTACCAAGCCACGGCTAACTATTTTGTTTTGTTTCGGACGCCAATTTACAATTTTTGTGCTTTTTAGCCATAATTTTAGTCTACGTTCTAGTTCTACGTAGCGTAGTTGTGAACAGATATTTGTAGAAAAGAACATCGATAAGTATTATAGACAAGGAACTCAACAACCCTATTGAATTTTATTGTTTATCAAAACTCAGTAATATAAGACAAACATATTGGTAATTACGATATTAAGATTAAAAACAAATTTTTTAATACCTATACTATCAAATATTTTTAATTTGCTTAATATTAACTACAAATTCACTTACTTGTGGAATGTTATCCTACTTTCCTTTTGGTAACGAGTTTTACACTCTCATTATTAATAAAATTATTCTTATTATGTAACTAAATTCAAACATAATCAAACCACATAAAATACTTTAATTTTTTGTGGTTTGATTTTTAGTTTAAAAATTCAAAATACAGAGATATGATTTAAATAATACAACAAACTTTGGCATATTATGTCAATTTTAGTTCCCGGTACGGACAATGATGGCGCTTCAAATCGGCATAAGCATTTTGTATGGCATAGCGAGTTCAGCGTACTTGTAGAGGTCAGTGGTTACAACATACCCCTGTCGGCCAATAGTGGTTGACAGAACGCTTAAAGGATTAAGGGGTGAAAAGTCATAACAGACGATAATTGAAGAATGTTTTAGTAACCTTAAAAAAAATTTACTCTTCGGTTACGTAAGAGTGGAGAAATCTGGAATCAATATATGATAGTTTATGAATATTCTAAAGTATTTATACAATATAGGCTACCAAGCAATCAATATGATTTAACTATGCCTAAAACATCATCATCTGAGGCATTACAGCCATAGCCTGGTCCAGCAAAGCTCTCCAGTCCGATCTGTTAGAGGCTTTACTTCTCCAACTTGTTACTCCCAAGATCTTGATATCTTGTTCAACGCCGTGCAACCATCTGAGCTTGGGCCGTTTGAGTACTCTGACCTCGTCCATTCGCAACACGTGCCCTGCCCAACGCAGGCGCCCGATCTTTATGGTCTTAATTACGTTTGGATCATCGTACATTTGGTATAGCTCGTGGTTATAACGCGTTTGTCATCTCTCATTTTCCATCACAGCTCCGAAAATGCGTCTTAGTATTTTCCGATCAAATACCAACAAGGAATTTTCGTCTTTTTTGCTCAACATTCGGAACCGTAGGTGAGTATAGGTCTTAGTAAGGTTTTGTACAAGAGAAGTTTTATGCTTCTTGAAACAAGTTTCGAACGTTAGTATCTTAGTAGTCCAAAGTAGCACTTGTTAGCCGCCATTATTCTCCTACTTATTTCTGAAGAAACATCGTTGTTATCGGTTACTAAGGATCCCAGGTATACGAAATCATTGACGCTAGCGAAGGTGTTGTTCCCAATATTAACTCCTTGTAGTAGAATTTGCTGGTCTATTGACGCTTTCAGGTACTTAGGTTAGCCATGTTAACTTGGAGACCAACCTCCGCAGCTGATTTTTCAAGAGCAAGGTATACACTCTCCATTGTAGGTAGAGATCTTCCTATGACGTCAAGGTCATCCGCATACCCTAGAATTTGAACAGATTTGTGGTAGATAGTGCCTTTGGTCTCGATCTTTGAGTCGCGAATACACTTGTTGAGAGCGATGTTGAACAGTAGGCACGAGAGCGCATCCCCTTGTCTTAAGCCGTCATTGGTTCTGAAGGGCTCTGATACATTTATTTGAACTCTAACAACGCTCTGAGAGTTTCTAAGAGTCATTTCCGTCAGGCGCACGAGCTTTGTTGGGATGCCAATTTCCATCATAGTCTGGTACAGGAAACTTCTGTGCACATTGTCATAAAAGTACCTGCCAAAGAGGTAGTGGTGAAACTTTTTCACACCTTCTATTACTGTGAGTGCCTCAAGCTCATAGCTTGAATAACAACTTTTAATATCATTCGTCCTTCTGCTCCTGTAATATACAGGCCGCAGCCTTAAAGTCTACGAAAAGGTGGTGAGTGTTCACGTTGTAATCAAACGTTTTTTCAAGGATCTGCCTAAGCGAGAAGATTTGGTCTACTGTGGACCTGTTTGGACGGAACCCACACTGATACTCTCCCAAGCTGGATTCAACATATGGCTTTAGTTTATTAAAAAGCATATTGCAAAAACTTTATAACCGGTGTTCAAGACAGATATGCCTCGGTAATCCAATATGTCGCCTTTCTTATGTAGGGGACAGATAACAGATGTATTCCAATCATCAGGCATTTTTTTATTGTTCCAAATTTGGAGCACCAGGTGGTGAAACTCTTTCTTGAAACCAGTTCCGGCATATTTTATAATCTTGCCTTGGATCTCGTCCATTCCGGGAGATTTGTTTTTTTAATGGATTGAATGGCTCGTATAGTATCTTCTATAGTGGGGTACAAAGATTCATCAGTCTTTTGAATGTTTAGTAGAGCTTCAGGTACTGGTACAGGTACAGAAATTAGACGAGTCTGCACTGAACTGTTAAGGAGTTCACGAAAGTATTCAGCCCATCTTTGAACGATCTCATCTTTATCATTATGTAGCTGTCCATTCTTACTTCTAGACGCCGTGGTTCTGGGTTTGAATTCTTTCCGTCCCCTATTCACTTGGTTGTAGAAGTTTCTAGTTTCCTTTTGTGTGTAACTAGATGCAATTTGTTGTTCTTCGTACGATCTTTTCTTTCTCTTATATAGGTGTTTTTCTCGTCTTCGTCGCTTCTTATACTCTTCTCCACGCCTGCGAGTGTATTTCTGTTGCATTAATCCGTACGTATCATTTTTCTCATTAGTGATCTTCTGACATTCATCATCAAACCAGTCGTTACGCTTCGGTTTTTCCTCAAATCCCAAAATATCACTAGCAGCCGTAGGAAAAACCCTTTTAAGATTCCGCCAGGTGCTATCAGGATTGCCAATGCTGTTGCTATTTTTTTCGCCCACTTTCATAAGTACTCTGTGAACTGTGTCCATATATTTGTATTTGACATCCTGCTCTCTCTTCAGCCTTGTTGTGTCAATTTTTTTTGTTCTTACCGTTTTGGTGTACTTGTACCGTGATATTCGTGCTCTTATTTTGCATACAACAAGATGGTGATCGGAGTCGATGTTTGCTTCTCTACGGCTTCTGACATCCAAAAGATTAGAGCAGTGTCTCCCGTCTATCAAAATATGGTCTATTTGGTTTCGGGTGACGTTATCCGCGGAGATCCACGTTATCTTATGGATATTCTTGTGTGGGAAGCGTGTGCTGCCGACGATCGTTCCTAGGGAAGCTGCCAAATTAGGCGTGTGCCATTGTCGTTAGATGTTTCGTGTAGGCTGTGGAAGCTTATTGTTGGTTGGTATATACTTTCTCTTCCCACCTTTGCATTCATATCTACAATTATAATTTTGATGTCACCTTTAGGTGATTTAGAATACACGCTTTCTACATCGAAATACTATCTTTCCTTCTCTTCTAGGTCAGTATCTTCCGTCGGAGCGTGTACATTAATGATTGTGTAGTTTGGAAATTTACCTTTAAGTCTGATTTTACACATACATTCATTAATTGGTTGAAAATCAATTACAAGATACGAGTATTTTAGGCGTTTGCTCACGACGAAACCTGTTCCAAAGGTATGATGTTTTTCATTACAACTATAATATATGGCGAAATCTGATTTATCAATAACGCCATGTCCCAACCGTCTAAGTTCCTGAACCGCTTTTATTTCAGCTCTGTGATTTGCAAGTTGTTGACATAATAGTTGAAGGCCCACTGGTCTGTCTGTACAGTGTTCTTAAGTTCCATGTATATAAGGTAAATTCGTTAGCCATTATTGAGAAGCCAGGTCGTTGGCTTAAAATCCGGTCCGTAAGTTTTACTTTTTCTTTCACAATCGTTTGTGTTCAGACGAGTGGGTGATTAACCCCTTGCGTCCTAGGCCTTTAGTGCGGCTGCCACTTTTGAGCTCAAGACCTAGCTCCGTTTATCTTCAGGTATCGTCCCTTCCGAGTTGAAACCAGTTTAAAGGTGCCGGTTGCTCGCCTTCGCCCTTTGTCCTTAGCATCTGCGCTCTAAGAAAGGGATGGTGATCGTACTTAGAGTACTGGCGCAGAAGGTCCCAGGGTGTACGACGGGGACGTGGACAGATCGGACTGGTTGGTACCTGCATACTTGTGCTCCACCATCAGAGCACTGCAGGCTTTTTATAGAAGTCACTAAGCTCGGTTCTTAGCGACCCCACCCATACCCAATACCAACTTCACCCCCTTATGCATAAAACGTTGAAGTTATTTAAAGGTAAGGATGCTCTCTATCAATTCTGGAAAACAATTGGATAATTTCGAATTGCCTAATTTGGAGCAAAGGGAAATGTTGTGAAGCGATGTTGTGACGGAGTTCAGCAACAATGTTGAGCATTAAAAATCTAGCCGAATGAATTAACGCCACATTGGCTTCTGCAGCAAATGTATAGTTGAGATGAGGAGGTTTTCTTTATCAAAGCACAACTGCTGACCTAACTTCACAAAAATCGCAAAATAACCTTGACCGAAGCTTCCGCAGGCTGCATCGTTGCTCAATAGTGGAATGACTACACGTTCGGTGTTCAAACTACCACTTATTTTTGCAAACGCATAAACGCAGCAACAACAGCAATAGAAGCGGTTGTGCAGCTCTCTTGGATCAGAGCAAGTAGGTTGCCTGAGATAAGTGCTCGATATTGCACAACCTCGCGGTAGATACCTTAAGCCACATCCTACAGTGTATCCATAGCAACCAGGCTCTGACTCTGGATGGGTGATATTGTCCTTTTGCTTGCAAAAGATTTTAAACATACACTGGCAGTTATTGAAATGAACCCGTGTCACAAGGCGTCGCCTCTATGGTCCAGGTTGTCAAAATTGCATCTGACGTGCAACATGCAAAAAGTTGCATACTTAAGTATGCAAAGTTATATACACTAAAGAAAAAGTTGCCTATGTAAGTAAGCTACTAGTATACTGTATTACAAACTATAGTTAAAAAGCATTTGCGTGCTAAATATGATCGAGCCCCAAGACCAAAAAGTGGAGATAAATATTTTTTTAATACTGAATAAATTTCAATTTATCATGTTAAATGTTTTCTGTTATTATTATTGGAATTTAAAGCATTAAAATTGTTTGACATGATTTTCCTTTTAACTAAAATAAAGAGACGGTAAAATAAACAACGATATGAAAGGTATAATCTTAATACTTTTTCCAATCTCGACCTTTGTCGCACCTGCGATTTGCTGTTATCTAGAAGAAATAAATATAATCGGTGCACATATTTCGTATAAATGCCAAACTTTTAATACGGACCAAATAAATTAGAAAAGAGCTCTTTCAAAAAGGGATTGTATATTTTTAATTTTTTTATATAGGAGACCGCATGCTCGTTTGCCCCTGCAAACGAGCATGCGGCTCACCTGATGGTAAGTGACTACTGCCGCCCATGAACAGCTACAACACCAGGGAGGGAATCGCAGATGCGTTGCCAGCCTTTTAAAAAGGGGAACGCTCTTTTCTTGAAGGTCCCTAAGTCGTATCGGTCCGGAAAAATCGCTGATGGTAATCGATTCCACAAGGAAGTCGTGCGAGGAAACATCTTCTAAATCGCACAGTGGTGGACCGCCAGTCATCCAGATGGCGTGGATGGTATCGGAAGTTCTGCCGCGATGTGCGTTCGTGAAATTTGGCGGCTGGGATTAATCCGAACAATTCCTCAGAGCACTCCCCGTGGTAGATGCGAAAGAAAATGCAAAGGGATGCAACATCCCTTCGCAGTGCCAATGAATCGAGCCGATCGGAAAGGACTCGGTCGTCAAAGATTCGAGCCGCTCTGCGCTGGATGCGGTCAAGTGGAAAGAGCTGGCACTGGGGAGCCCCTGCCCAGAGATGGGAACAGTATTCCATGTGAGGCCGAACCAGCGCCTTGTAAAGTTGCAGGCGGTGTGCCGGCATGAAATACTATCCCGCTCTGCTGAGCGGCATAGTATTTCAGGCCAAATTGACCTCTAAAAAGGTTGGCGTCTTTTTAGAGGTCAATTTGGCCTTCTCTTCCAAGTGACCACGAAACTGCACGTCACTCGATATGTCGACTCCGAGGATTCCGATACTGGCTGAGGCAAGAAGGGGAGTGCCTTGAAACTGAGGAAATACGACAAAGGGGTTCCTTTTAGCGGTAAACGCGCAAACTTGTGTCTTCTGAGGATTAAACTGGCACGGCCGGTGTACAGAGCATCACCAGTGCTGTCATCCGCATAGCAATGAATGTTACCAGTTATCAACATATCATTGATATACAGAATAAACAGCGTTGGTGATAGCACACAGCCTTGTGGAACACCAGCGTTAATAGGCTTGTAGTCGGAGCATACACCGTCTACAACGACCTTGATGCTCCGACCTGCAAGGAAGCTGGTGATCCAATTGCACAATTTCTCGGGAAGCCCATAGGAAGGGAGCTTCGAAAGAAGCGCTTTATGCCAAACCCGATCGAAGGCCTTCGCAATGTCCAAACTAACAGCCAACGCCTACCCCTTCGACTAAACTGCCTCTGCCCATCTATGGGTCAGGTAGATCAGAAGAGCACCAGCTGATCGACCCCGACGAAAACCGTATTGGCGGTCACTAATCAGCAGGCGATCCTCAAGGTATCGCATGAGCTGGCAGATAATAATTGATTCCATCATTGTGGAGAACAAAGAGGTGGTGGCGATAGGCCTGCAGTTGGACGGGTCTGAGTGGTCACCTTTTTTAGGGATCTGATGGACAAAAGCC